GGTTCCAGTGCTCAGATAATTTTCGTGGCCTCCTCTGGACCCACTCCAACAGCTCCATGTCTCTCCTGTGCTGAGGAATCCAGAGTTAGACACAGGAATCTCAAGTGATCATTATATACAGAAGACAGACCATCTGCTTTGCACTTCCACACCAGTTCAGAACAAGGCACTGCTGGACCTGTAATGCACACTTATAAAAAACATTTTGACTTCTGGAAGTCAAGATACCAACCAGTTTGTCAGGTATTTTTAAGGATCAAAATAAATCACTGCCTTCAACTCACCTACTCAGTGATGAAGTTTTCCACCATGGCACTGTTATATTGTCCTCCCACTGCTTTGTTTAAATGCACAAGTACTAATATATTGGTCATGATCTGCCATTTATACAAATGTGGTTTTGCTATTTCTCTCTTCCAGACTATAAATAGACTTCAGGTCTCCTGATCAGAAAACAGTTATAAATAGTCCAGCTTTTTTTAAACACGCAGGTATCCTGATGAAAAGAGCACCTGAAAAATAACACCTACGGCATTTATGGTATTTGGGGTTTTTAATTATTGCAATAGGCAACAAGTCAGAAGTCTGATGTAAAATTCTGCAAAATTTAGGCCCTGGGTAAACACCACTGTGGTAAGTACTGATAGCATCTGATCAAAGAAGTTTGTCCTGGGAAGAACCCATCTTGATTATAATGAGCACTCTCCACCCTGTCCCTTTGCCTACCCTCCCAAACCCCTGACAAATATTTGTAACTCCAAGTCTCTGAAGTGTGAGAAAAAAAAAACAACTCGTGTGAAAGTCACAGCACATCATCATGTGATGCTCAGAGTAGCTTCTGGAGCTGAATACTCTGGGTATCAGCTGCAGCTGGAAGAACTATGACTTATTATGACTACAGAGTTATTCTGGGAGCAATATCCAGAGCCCAGAGGGCATCCAGGTTCTTGACCTTTGACCTGCAGCCTTCTCCTGACGATTCCCCCACCTAAGCAGTAATTCACACACTTCAAAGTCTGCATCATCTCTGTACCACTGCCACATATGTTTAAGTTCACTGCAGCTGCACAAGCCCATCGTTTGATCCTTTCACTCCTCTATTCCTCCAAGCCTTTCAACTCTTTGCCAGGCAACTGAAATACAGAGGCCTTGAAAGTATTCAGAGGTCTTCTATTTTAACAGCAAGCATTGAAACCCCTAGAAATCCCTGCAGTTGGGGTCTCCATTAGCTCAGTAAGACACCACTGAACCAACCACTGCAAGCTGTGGTACGCATTCTGAGCAGGAACAATCAATCACTAAATACCAAGCTCCAAGTCACTGTTTGACAGCACAGCTTCAAGAACAGCTAAGCTACTATTGCCAGATCTACTAAAAGCTGCAATCAGCAGCATGAGGTACTCCCAGGGAAGAAAAAAAAAACCTCCCAACATAACAAAAAAGAGAATTTGTAAGTTTATAAAGCAAGAAAACAACAGCAGAATAACCCTCCACACACATGTATGTTGAAATTTAGCTAAGTTTGTGAATGCAACATGAGCATCTCACAGAGAAGAGGCAGAAGAGGCAGAAGAGGGTGAAGAGGGATTGCTTTAGAGCACCAGCAAAACCAGCCACTTTGTTTTCTTGAATGCTGTTTTTATTGCAATGGATCAGTGACCATGTGATAACAAATTATCTGATTCCAGGATGTCAAACTGCCCCATGGCAAAGCAGCTTCAAACTTCCTCTTCACATGATCAGATTAACACTCACCCCTACATAAAAGTTTAGTTTACAAGTTTACTTTTAGCCATTCACACATGCTTAAAAAAAAAAAAAAAAAGAAAAGAAAAAAAAAAAAGAGACTCCTTTGACTTTCTCAGGGATGGTTTAGGAAGCTATCCTGCCTCTTCCAGCACAACTATCCCACGAGAAACCGGATGGGAATTCTTCACTCTGCCATCTCACAGACCACAGTTATCCTTCTCTGCACAGCCCCTTTTATGTAACAAGCTCTACCAAACTCATTCCCATCCTCCTCCTGTGTTTTCAGCCTTCTGGAGCTCCCCTGAGCAGCCCTGTGAAGGCTCCAAAAGGAATGCAGAGTGATTCCTTGTGTGGACGTGGTGGATCCAGCCGAGCTGTACTTTGCTTAGTTTGGCAGCTATTCCCAGTACTGTAGAAGCTGCTTTTGCACACAAGTATTAAGTTTGCAAAAGTATCTCTCCCTCACTACCCCCCTCCCCAAAACCCAACTTGTCAGCACACTACTCTTTGCAACGTCTGAGTAATTGCAAAATACTTACAGTCCCCTGATATCCCCCTGGACCAAAGGCTCTCAGGAAGCTGCCATTTAGCATCTGGCTGTAATAACCTGCAGGGCTTCTGTGCATAGAGATTATTTCCCCCAGTGCTTATTACAGATGTTTATGAGAAGGTAATCTTAAACAGGGTCAAATTATGTAATTACGTTTCTACTTTGTATGTCAGATGTGAGGCTAATGAGCAGAGAATTAGTTTTTGACAGAAAAAAAATTAGACTACCCCATCCTAATTGAAAAGAGTAGTAAATTCCTTCAGAAATTACTAATTGAAAGGCAGGTGTTATACACTGGCTTTTTTTTTTTATTTTTACAAGATCAAGTTCCATTCATGAAGCCCCAAGGCCATGAACATTTTGTTCAGACCTCTATTTTTGTTAAATCTATATATTTATATTCACAGTTCCTCCTGTGCCGTGGATAATAGAGTCTTTAAAAAGAAGGAAGTTCCACTTACTACCCTGTTCAACATTCCATTCCCCAATTCCCAGCAGCCCAGGAGCTGACAGTAGACAACGGGGCAGAACATGGACAACATTGATCCAGCAGAGCACATGGCTTCCTGAGCTGTGAGAAGAACTGGACAAGTCCCAGTTCTGCAACTCATCTTCCAGTGGGCTACTACCTGAAGGTCACAGAAGGTGCTGCTCCTTACTACTGAAGGGTTTAAATTTGATTTTCCCCCTTTAGATCAAAAATGGTTAATGTTGATCCAAACCCCTTTATTTCTGGAGAAGAAAATACCTCAAGAGAGCATCTTCTGAAACAAACAGAGCTCTCTGTCAGACAAACTGCTGAAAGCAGTATTTGACCTGAGCCCCCAGATCCTTAGGGATCCACCAGCTGCTTCTGAGAATCCTGGAAAGGCAACGATGGAAAGGAAGCCTACTGGCCTGGATTCAAGTATATTTGTGCACACCATGTAGGAGTTCCTACTACTACAGGAAGTTTTGATAAGATCCACAAATCCTATTTAAAACCCACAGATTTAAAAAATATCCTCCAGTAAACAAGAGTTTTACTGTTAAATATATCCAGGAAGTTTCTCAAGATCTTTTTTTCCACAGCCTGTTCACTTTCTTTGGACACAGATTTCTTGCCACTTTGCTTGCCAAAAGGGAAGATACTTTGATACAAACTGTACCACAATACACAACTGATAGATATCAGTCGTGGGCAGTAACCATGGGATGCAATCTACTCACAGTACAGAGTTCACTCCCCCCAACACACTGTTCAAAACAAAAGGATAAAGAAAAAAATTCCTGTGTGAGAAAAGTTCAACGACAGCCTAACAAAGAAATAGGGTCATACTTACGGTCAAGACCGTTGATGTATCTCATTGTAATTTCACAGTGCCCCCAAACTGCACTGACTATGGGGTACAGTTTTTTCCCTTTTAGTCCCCTGAAGGCCACTCCAAGATACTGTCCATCTACCATGAAGCTCAGCGTCCCTTCGTCCATATCCAAAACCACCAGTAAGGAGTCTGGGAGTACAAAAGACTCGTCGGGTTCCAAAAAGACAGGGTACGTGACGCCGGGCTGGTTTTTACAGTTGTGGTAGAGTTTGTTGCGCCCCAGGTCCCAGCCCCACGACTCACTGTTGCTACCAACCAAGGACGTGTACCCCACCGAGTGCAGCGGAGCTTCCGCCGTGGAGACGCCCACCACGGCGTGAGTTCCTCGTTGCCTCGTGGGCCAGTGGATCTGCCAGACGTGCAGGCCCCTCGTGTAGCCGACCTTGCCCCGGATGCAATCCGTGCTTTGGGCAACGGGGTGCCTGTGAAAAGTCAGTTTATCGTCTTCCTTCACAAAGATGTTCAGGGAGCGATCCTCGTTGTTCCACGCGTGTTTATACTGGACCTCCAGCTTGGCAGGGGGCATGTCCAAGAGCATGTCCAGTCGCGCCGGCTTGCAAAAATCCGGGCCTCTCAGCTCTCGTTTAACAGGCCTATAAGGGGGCTCCCTCACATCCACAGACTTTATGCTCCCTGAGATTTTCTGGCCCATTGCTTGGCTGCAGATTTACAAAGGAGAAGGAAAAGTTGACTTTGGCCCAATGCTACCTCATGAAAGCGTTTTCACACTGAGCCAGCGGCCTGCCAAGCTGACTGGATTGACTTCTCCTGTTTGGAGCTTTTAGCAGCAATGTTTTCGGAGAAAAAACGCTCCTAAAAGAAAGCAGAAAGTTTCCAGTTAGTTTAAGAAAGTCAACAGAAAAGCCACAGAATGTTTTTAAAGAGCTTCTTCTCATCCCTAGTAGTTATTTTAAACACCAAAGCTGAGAATTCCCCAGTTTTTGTTCAGTATCCTACAGCGCTGCCCAGCCTGCCGGCAGGATCCGGAGCCCACCAGCGTGCAGAGCGCAGACAGTCATTTCCTCCAATTCATACCGGGACGCAGACACTCCCCACCTTCTGCCCTTCCACCTATTCTGTCTGGCCAAGCTCACGGCGGTCCTGAAGAAGGCCTCTGCTACTCCCCAGCAGCAGTGACAAGCTTTGTGTTCAGCAGTAGCTTCACTTTCACTTACACTTTTGTTCCACAGTTTTTGAAACCCCTATTGTGTCAGCAGCTCCTCTGATTTCCAGCTCTTCGCTGGGCCCTGGTGACATGAGGCATTCAGCTTCTATGTCTTTATTAATAATCAAATGCAGCCATCAGCAAATGGCTGCAGAATGAAATGCTTCCTTTGAACATATCCTAGCCTTAAATTTTTATTGAGAAGGAAGAAAAAATTCACCAAGCTTTAGGTTTATTTTATAAAAGAGCTACAAGAAAACAAACAACACCACAGGGAACGAGGAAAGAGGAGCCAAGGAAGGATAAACAAAGAACAGAAGTTTCAGTCCTCTGGCAGACTTTTCTAACAGGCAGCTACTACAACTGGGTATGCTCTTCACACTACTGGACACCAGGCTAATCCCTGTTTTCTATATTTCAGTATCAGGCTGGTCAGAAAGACTGGAACACAACAAGACACATGAATGGGAATACATGATTTTGAAATGTATTCTTTCTGTGCTTGCACAGACAAACATGGTAATTTAGCTGGAAGCAGTCAGAAGCACCCAGCAGAGATTCTTTGCAATTAAGTTAGATTCTTTGACATTTTAGAGCTCAGGCAGAGCGGAGGGGGAAGCCAAGAAAAGTGCCTAAAAGAATAAAAATTAAGTACATGACTGACATGGGATCAAATGAAGTATCTGCACCAGCAGATCCACTGTCATTTAGCAAAATAAGTGCCAAGTCCAGGAATGCTCAAATATACCTGAGTAGACCCACTCTGTTCATCTACTGACAGAGACGGGAAGTGTTTCCAGACACAGGAGGAGTCACCAGACTCTCAAAAGCCTGAAGAGCCTGGGTGATAGCTGGTCTTCATAAAGCACCAAACAGCAGACAGGGACATAATCATCTTGCAAGACTTGGTAAGTCATAAGTCCATGCCCATCCTTTTAAAGAACTTGCACACCAGATATACTGTCCCATTGCAAAGATCTTTTCTGAAAGATGATTAAGAAACATGTACTCACAATGGAAGGAAATAAAAAGAGAAGTTGAGAAGGACACCTGTAAAATTTACCATCCAACCACACTTTAGTAGTGAATGAAGCCCTTGTATTACTCACAGTGGCCAATACCACGTAAAGTGTTTTCTGCTTGCATTAAATACAGAAATGAAACAATGACTGTGTTATGTGAAAGTTTTCTCAAAAAAAAAAAAAAAAAAGGTAAAAAGTTGATTTTCAAGTCAATACAACAGTTAAGTCACTGTATAAAAAGCATTATTTTCCAGTGGCTGGTCCCACCTGTGCTCACCTGAGCGTAAAACAACCACCTCTTTGCACCTAATGTTAATCTTTAAAAAACAAACTTAGGCATAAGCCCTCGAGCCCCTGATCTCGTGCTTGCAGGATTCAGAACAATTCACAGAAGTTCCCCACGTGAGCTCAGCTTCAAGAATCCTCTTTCCTTCTTTCCAAACAATGCAGAAGGAATCTGAAAGCGTAAAAAGTAATGACACTGAAGTTGGCACTTGCATTTCCCCTGTTGCAGAAGCACTCACAGGTTGTTTCAATGGTACAGTGGCAGATTTGGCCCATTGAAGCAAGCTCGTTACTTTATTCCACACTAGTAATCCTGGGGGAAATGAAATAGTGATGCTAATACACACACAGAGGAACGAGCAGGAGCAACCATCAGCAAGTTCTCCTGGGAGAACACATGCCCAGGGCCCAGGCAGCTACTTTCCAAGAGGTGCTTGATTATCTAAGCTTGAAAGGAGGATATGAAAAGGGAAAACAGACAGTCAGAGGGAACCTCAGTTAGCTCTACATGCCTTGGAAAATTTCCCCTTTAAATCACCAGAGGATTGCCACAGTCCTGCCAGGGTGCTGAGGGAGAGGCCGGGGAGAACCTCAGCACATCCTCCTGTATCGCTTCCTGATCACATGAGGAACTCAGCTTGGCACAGACCCTCACCTGGCAGATCACCAACAGATTATAAACACCAAAGTGACTGACTTGGCAAGCCACAGACATTCTTCCTAATGTGCCCCAAACTGTAACACAAATAGGCTGCTAACAGATAGCTCAGTAATTCCAAGGAGTAAAACATGTCACTTTAAGTACCTTGACAGATGCACAGCTGCACCTTTACTCTGGGGTGTGCTCAGTGAGGACTTCAGTCTGAAACCATTGTACAACATCAGGTCTTTCTTCATACATGGACATTACCACATAATTTAAGTTCCTAGGCAGTGGTACAGCTCAAAAGTCACCTCTCACTAAATACCTTCCCCCCATATTACATCCTCTTGCATCCTAACTCTGAGTAACCAGTTGTTCTCAGTTCCTACTTAGAAGGCAAATAATAGCCACATTTACCTTGTTATGTAAGACTTGAACAAGTAAATGGGGGAGGAATATTGACATTTAATCATTTATACCAGTACAGCAATAAAGGTTAGAGACAAGTAGAGACAAGTATCTACTGGAGAGTGTCCAGCAGTGGCTCTGAAGGTGCTGAGGGGACTGGAGCATCTGCGTGCCAAGGAAAGGCTGAGAGCCCTGGGGCTGGTTAGCCTGGAGAAGAGAAGACTGAGAGAGGATTCTATCAATCATTATCAGTATCTAAAGAGCAGGTGCCAGGAGGATGGGGCCAGACTCTTTCCAGTGGAACCCAGCAACAGGCTAAGGTACAATGAGCACAAACTGCAACCCAGGAGGTTTGATCTGAACAGAAGGAAAAATTTCTTTCCTGTGAGGGTGACAAAGCCCTGGAGCAGGCTGCACAGAGAGGTTGTGGAGTCTCCTTCTGTGGAAAGAATCCAAACCTACCTGGATGTGGTCCTGGGCAACTGCTCTGGGTGACCCTGCTGGAGCAGGGGTGCTGGATGAGATCTCTCCAGAGGTCCCTTCCAACCCTTACCAGTCTGTGATTCTGTGTAGCCCCATGCTGGCTGTGATCTAACAGCTCTGATTGCTGGTGCTTAGTAGTAGCCGACGCAGTGAGGGGTCACAGCACACACCTCCAGCTAACAACCCGTGCGACACCAATGTGAGCTCCACAGGGAGTGACTTGTATAGAAAGTCCTCCTGGCAGCTCACAATAGTCCAAAATCTTTAGCTGAAAACCTTCTTCCCATGTCTTGAATTAAAAATGTGCCAAAGCACAGCACCGTCACTCAACTGCTCTGACTTTCTGCAACCCTACACTGCTTAAGGAACTTACATCTCCTTGCCTGTATCTTCTCACTAGACACATAAAATATTCTGACATTAAAGAACATGTGTTTTCACTGCATAGCTTTGCTTCAAAGCTTTCCCCAAAGTTTTGCTCTTCCAGTAATTTCAAACTCCTACAGGAGTTAGGAAATAAAATATTTCAGTCTGGCTTAATATCTGATCTCTCTGTTATACCTCTTTAGTGACTACAACAGAAACACTAACACTCCACCCATTATCCCTGTGATAAAAGATATTTTGTGGAAAATAAAGCAGTATTTTCATGGGAAGAGAAAAAACACGTCAGACCACCTCTTCAGCAACTGGAAATCTCTGGTTGAGAAGACTGTTAGTTCTTGTAACCTAAATTATCTGTCTCACAGTTTCACATTGATGCCACACTTTGTCAGGATACAATGATGAGATGAAACGTACTGTACAAGAACAAGCCAGCTCCAAACAGGAAAAGTGTGTCAACGTTGCTTAGCAGTGTCCTCATGCAGACTGCCAAAATATTTAGGGAAATTATTCACAATAAAAACACAAATTATACTTACCAGAGAAAGGCTTGCTGGGACACAGCTTAGCTGTAATTAAATAGGGTGAGTTTTTTAACAATTCAGTATATTGGCACTGGTAGAATACAACTGCTGATAAAAGGAACATGTTTTCTGCAAAGTCAGCTTTCAGCATTCAGAGTTATATTTCCCTCTGGATTATGAGCTAGACGTGCAGAAAGCTTGAAGAACACGCACAAGAAAGGACACCACATAAACACAATTCCAAACTACAGTAAGAATGTGCTGTGGTTGTGGTCAACTCTGCTAAACTTACCAAAGTCTTGCTTACCGAAGAAGAGAGAAGCAGCGAAGTGAGTCCTAGCTAACGATACTGGGCAGAGAAACTGCCCAGCAGAAAAAGCAGGGAAGGTGATGACTCCAGCCATCAGCTTTTCTGAGTTCTGCATGGCAGCTCCCTCTCTTCTTGCTACTGACCCTCACCGAGTTTTCTTCCTCCCTGCAGACAGACCTAGCTGCCCACCTGGGCCTCGGCACCAGCAAGGAAGGGCTCCTGAATGCCAGGAGAGTTATGAGAGGCTCTGAGCCAAGGCTCTTCTCCATGGGCACCAAAATTGTTTGTTCCCCAGGTGCCTGAACAGAACCAACACCCTACAAGTTCGAGTACCACCAATCTGACCCTGCTCCTAACGTCTCTACATGAGGAACAGGATGAACAAAATCACCAGATCTGGTTATAAACCCTTCTGAAGAAAGGTTTAT